AAGTATAATGTAGATCAGGTTAGAGCTGGTATAGTGCTGGTCTTAGTTGTGGGCCAATATAGTAATGCTGTTGTCAAGCCAAACTGAGGTGTAGCTGGTCCATTAGCACTCCTGCTTCCCATTCTGGTGACCAGCAAACCAGAAACCAGCTTGCAAAACATACCTTATGCTGGTGACCAGCAATGCTTTATTTTTTAGCAGGGAAGAACATTTTATGGTGCTTTTGCATTCTTGAAAGCTTCAGTCCTCATTTATTGTTGTTAAAGTTGATTGTTTGCTCTGCAAAGGCAAGAAAGTCTGGAAAGGTCTGGAATGACATGATGGTGAGTAAATGACAATATTGCCATTTTGTGTGAACTATTACTTATTAAAAGCAAAAAAGGGATGCAGAAATTCTATAACTGCAAATTGTTAAAGGAATAGTTCACTTAAAAATGAAAATTTTGTCATCATTTACTCACCCTCAAGCTGTTTCAAACCTGTATGAATTTCTTTCTTCTACTGAACATAAAGGAAGATATTCTGAAAAATGTCGGTAACCAAACAGTTGATGGACCCCATTAACATTCATACTATGACACAATTGATGCTGACACAATTTTAATTTTGAACTATTCTTAATTCAGGAATGTTTGTTGGCTTGAATTTGTTTTTATGTATCTTAATACATGTAGAACTAGTAGAATATGTATGTATTGACATTGATGGTAAGTGCATATTTAAAAAAATATGAGAAAAAAAAAAAACGTATCATTATCAAATTCATACATTTACAGAGACGTCCCAGCCGATGGTCAGCGATGAAATTTCGCCGAGGTTCTGGTCATCCAGCATACGCAGAGGTAGAGCCTATGGGTCAAGAAAAAGAAGGCTTTATTGAATCAGAGCAGTGCTGAGATTTGACCTTTGACTTCTTAAGTCACACACAGCCCAGCAACCTTTTTGGTGTCTTGCTACAAATCCACACATCTCAAATCATAAGTTCCACCAACCCCCGTGAACACTGACGAAACTGAAAACAGTGAGGGTGTGGTGTTTGAATGAAAGAGGCATCCACAAAACAAATGCTTGGATCCAGCTTTTAACACTCCGAACAAAACATCTACATTCAGAGGAAACGTTCAGCAGCTTCTGCTCGGTTCCTGTCATGACGTGGGGAGCAGCTCTGGAAACCTTGATTGTACTGGATGAGGCTTTGACCTTTCACCCTCAAAATCCCCATTGAACTGAAGGCAGTTACGTTTGATTCTCTGATTTGATGTGCCTCTCAGAGATGTTTCTTGTCTTGACAGTTTCTGAACTGCACATTCATTATATAGACCTTTATATATCTTAAAAATGGGTTTTGTAGGGTTTTTATGTTTGTTTTCCAGATTATTTTTGGCATATTCTCTTATGATTTTATCTCTTTGATTTGAACTGATGTTTTGGAGTATGTTGGATGACCTTTCCACAGTTATAGATACTGTGTCTCTTCCTCTTGTTTGGATACAATTGGAAAATGTTCTGTGAACAAATGTGCCAACAGTATTGATTAACATTTTTCATCCATATTCCAACCATTTAGGACATTTTGCACATATCCACTTAATGCACATATATCGCTTTTTTCAAGTTTAATTTTCCCTCAACTTATGTTACTAATGCATATTTACAAGACAGGCGCTTGTGAGATTGCGTGTGTGCATCTTTGTTTAGAGTTTTCTGTTGTTGTTTTTGTCGTTATATTACGGTACACGATCCCTTACACTGACAGTCCTTACATTGAGTTGTTATATAATATTTGATATAGAGCTCTCCCTCTGCTGTCAAGGTCATCTCAGTTTCAAAGATTAGAAGCCGTGGAATTGAGAACTGCAATAATGAATTCATTTTGACTTCAAGAATGTGAATTATTACTCTACAGAATGAGAAACACAACACATTACAACCTTGTATATGATGAACATTCAGTAGGCTATGTTCTAAATAATTCCCATTGTGTTCAATAGTAATGGGGATTTTACTTTTGAAGGTTTACAATATTTATCCTTATAAAACTGATTTAGTTATGGCACATTGTATTACCACCTTCTTTAAAAATGTATCTTAAAGACATTTTGAGTATTGTGACCAAAGAACTGTCATCATTACACACAAACAGAATATATAGAATGAAAACAATTGAAAAACATTTCCTTAAGACTGTACAACTTGTTGAGATGGACAGTAGTAGATATTTTTGTCTTCTGTTTCATTATTTCAGCAAACCTATGCATTGGGGCAGTTCCTGAGAGTTTATTTTCAATGTCTTTTAGGCGTTTTTAATAATGCATGCAAGGGATATTTTTCCTCCTCTTTTATTATCCTCATAACAGGGTGGCTCACCAAAAATCAAGGTCTAAATTCTATTTTTATCAACTTTCTTCACTGGAAGACCTGATTATTTTCAACAAATGTATCGTGTGTGTGTGTGTGTGTGTGTGTGTGTGTGTGTGTGTGTGTGTGTGTGTGTGTGTGTGTGTGTGTGTGTGTGAACACTAAATCTGAATGTATATGAGTGCACACTAATATGGGGTTTGAAGTGGATGTTTTATTTTGTGAAATAATCTCAAAGAAAACGTTTGTTGAATGAGATAAATTTTCTGTTCAGCAGTGATGTCTGCTATCAGAATTCGAGGAAACAAACATATTAGCGACCTGCATTTTTGATAATCATAATCGTCATTTGTGCTACACCATTGAGAGACAGTGAAATGCACAATGCTGTAATCTGTGTAATCTTGTGTTACTACTGTCAATTTGATTACATAATAAAATTTGATTAAATAATAAATGAATGATTCTGTTTTAACTCTTTCCCCGCCAGCGTTTGTTTTTAAGTTTGCCAGCTTTTTTTATTATTTTCACAAACTTTTCATGGCCCCCATAATATTTTGTTGTATGAATATCTAAAACATGCAATAACCTATATCAAAAGAAAGAACAGGGACTCTTCTGTTAAACAACAACAACAACAACAACAACAACAACAACAACAACAACAAAAAAAACGTTTTTTTTTCTAGCTTCATGCAATCTTTTTTTATTTTATTTTTTATCAACACTTGAATGTAGGTAAGGGAACATTCCCGCTCAGACTCGGACCGCAGCACGTGCCGAGTGAGTGCAACCGAACTCAGACCTTTTCCCTCCTACAACTACGTGAACTATCTCGAGGCCCACAGAGAAGGAAATGAATAGTTGACTAAAGTCGTTATTTTTGTTGTTTTTTGCGCACAAAAAGTATTCTCGTCGCTTGATAAACTTAAGATTGAGCCACTTGATGAACCCACAAACTTGATGACACTTCTGAGTGTGACAGCTCCCAGGATGAAAGTAGTGAACCAGACATCTCAGATCTGTCAGTTGGTGACTTTATTATTGTGAATTTTGAGACCAAATGCAACAGTTACCATTATAGTGGCTTGGTTGAGAGCCTGAGGGCAATGAAGTTAATGCAAGATTCCTCAGAAGAATCCGAGGGAGCACTGGCAAAGACAAAGCCACATTTGCATTCAAAGAAAATTATGTGGGATCTGTCCTGAATGATGTGCTGAAGAAGCTTCCTAAACCTCGAAAAGTTGGAGGAACTGCAAGTATGGAACAACTAATATTTCCCTGCAACCTTGATGGATGGAATATCCAATAGTCATTTTCACTGTGCTAAGGTCTGGAAGTTCAAATTGTTCTTTTGTTATCACAAGTTCAAAACTGGGAAACTGTTTAACAAAATTGGAAATGAGAACTAAACACACTGGAGGGACGTTCTTTCTGTCAAACACGTTTAGTGTGTGTGTGTGTGTGTGTGGTTGGACATGACTTGATTAACATATAACCATATAACCAACATCTGCATATAACCATGTCAGGGCCACTATCGTCAAATACGATTGACAATTAGCATACAGTTTGGATTTGCAGTATGGCTCCGTTCTGGGCGAGAACTCCCTGCGCATCCAGGCAGCAACAACCCTCCTTCTGGGTAAACAGACCAGAACCAACATGAATGTATTGCAGATATAATTAATTTAAGATTTTAAAATACAACATAATTCGAGAATTTATTCTGATTCAAGTGGAATGAATCAGTGCGTTGTGTTGATTGTGTAGCAGCCCTTTATAGTATTCTAAATATGAAATCTAATAGAGAAGATGTAATGCTAGATATTCAACAAAGTTTATTTAGATTACAGAGACTACGGATAGATGTGAGATTCTGCTGGGTACCTGCCCACGTAGGTATAAAAGGGAATGAGGGAGCAGACAAAGAAGCAAAAAAAATCAACCAGGATGAACAATGTCATAAATATACCCCCTGGAAAAGGAGAAGCTAAGGCGATAATCAAAAAAGAAATGATGAAGAAATGGCAGGACAGGTGGGATGTGGATAAAAGTGGAAGGAAATATCACAGCTTGCAAAAATCTATTAATGCTCAGGGTGTGAATAGAAGTAACAGAAGAGAGGAGAGCGTTTTAACCAGGTTCGGTTTGATCATGCAGGGTTAAATAAAACATTGTTTTTAATGGGCAAAAGTCAATCAGATTAATGTTTGGAATGTAGGTCCAAGAAAGATGTAGAACATGTAGGCTACTATTACATGTAGGGAATATAGGGATGAGATGAGGCTAAATCAAGAGATATCTCAGGCGAATGGAGTTTCATTAGGCACAACAGGAAATGGGGTAAAGGATACACAGAAAGCAGTTGTACAATATCTGAAAAATATAGGGATATATAATATATATATTTTTATATAAAGTAGTCCCAACGAACATAGTTCATGCTACATACTCCGATACAGTAGGTGGCGGGATGCACCTTCAAAAGTCATGGTTGCAATCTGCCATAAAACAAAAAGAAGAAGAAGCTGTGACGCTGCAGTCACATGTTTCTCTGTCAGCGACCTCTGTCTTCTGATTGGACAAACAGTTTCAGTACAACTATAGCACCAACTCAGTCCAGTGAGTGTAGTTCCTAATATACCGGTATTCATAATCTGTGCCTCTTTTTTTATGGGCTTCTCGGTGTAATTATCACATACTCAGCAGTCCTGAGAAAATCTCGTCTAAACTGTCTTGAATTCCTGCTGAATGGCTGAAGCCTTCGTTACAGGTAACGTAAGCGGTAATGGCTACTCATAACGGCTAACTAGCTGTAGTGAAGTGTGTGTGTGTGTGTGTGTGTGTTTACGAATGTGACGGTGAACTCAGCCTTTTATCTCCGCAATATTATCTCAGTATTTGAGAAATAAAATAAAGAGATGTCTTGTAACAACTGTTCAGAGAATAATATTCAGTCATCGTCACGTCACGTCCATAAGGTCGATGTGTAAGAGTGTCAGTAAATTCATGAATCATATCTGGTCGACACTCGACAGACATTCTAACACTATAGAGAAAAGCGAGTGACGTCTATTCTTTGTCATGTGACGTTACAGCATGTTGCAAAAAAAGCTGTGTCAGTATCAGAGTGTACACAATGTCCAGTGCTTACAAAGCATCCAGTCATAGCTATATAGATAATGCTATAGTAATAAAGTCAAAGGGCAGAAAATAATCCTGTCAACCATTTGTCTTCACTTTTAGACACATCAAAGTTGAACCCAGAGTCTGCTGAGTTTGTACCGCAAGCTAAAACCAAGCAGCCCCACTCTAGGAGAAGTTACAGTCAGCTGGACCACAGTCAGGACTGGGGGGCTCAACATGTTAGGCCTCATCCTCACTTTAGACAGTTCAGTGCGACTGATCACAGTCAAAATGATTTTGAAAACCCTGCCAGCAATACATTATTCACTCCTGACCTTGCCATCAGAGGAGGCTTAAGAGGTAGAGGCAGAGGAAGACAAATAGGAGGACGAGTATATGGTGGGCGCAATAATGATCGTCACCCTCAGAGTGAGAGATGGACAAAACGTGGAAGTGATAGTGACTGGTCAGGTAGGGGCCGTGGAGCTGGTGGTCCTAAGCGACCCAACACGCCCACTTCTAACAGATCGACAGATGAGGAGAAGGAAAGAACAACTGTGGAAGCAGATGTAAGTAAGTCTTATCAAGACAGCCGACGGAAGAAGCCCAATAAAGTAAGAGCTGAGAGATCGATAAATGAGCCTTTGCCCAGGAATAGGGAGGAGAACCAAGAAAACCAGGGTGTTGGAGGAGACGCAAAGCCTACAGCAGTTCATGAACATCCAGAGTCTGAGCAGAGGAACCATAAGGGATGGAGAGGTGGAGACCGCCGCATACAGTCCAGTTCCCAGAGGAAAGGGCCGATGCCTAACCATGGGATTGAGGGTAACTGGAGAGAAAGAGAACCTGTTCAGATCAGAGGAGAGGAGAGGAGAGGTGCAGAAGATGACAGTGAAAGACATGAGGAGTCCAACAGGAACAGAGAAGGTGCGAGAGGGAAACGGGCACTACTGCAGAATCCAGTGCCGAGGAGAGGTGGAGGGCCTGAGCGAAGAACAGGACCGGTGAAATGCATGGAGCCTCCCAAAAGCAAAGAAACACAGACAGGTGATGTGCTTTAGGTCAGGAAGTTCACACATATACAATTTCTTGTTTTGTTGTTGCACCTTTTACAAATGATTGTCACTTCTCTAGAACCTACAGTTACTGTACACCCTGATTGTAAATACTTTGATAATTATGATAATTGATAATGTATGATATTTAAAGGTGCTCTAAGCGATGTCACACGTTTTTAGGCCAAAACATTTTTTATCACATACAGCAAACATCTCCTCACTATCCGCTAGCTGCCTGTCCCCTGAACACACTGTAAAAAAAACCCGGTCTCTGTAGACACTCCAGGCTCCACAAACAGCAACAAAAACAAACTGGGCCAACCCGCACCACGAAACATAACAAACAGCGTTCCAGCCAAAAACCGGCAAGAAGGATTTGGGGGTGGGGTTTGGGGGGTTAATGCGCGGATGAGGAGGGAGGGAGGGTCTAGCTAACCTCCGTTTTGTTTGACAATACTTCGAACGTCAACAAGAAGTGACATGACCCAACATCACTTAGAGCACCTATAAAAGGACAAGTTTGCTGATTTTCAACCAGCTTTGTTTTGTTGCAAAGTCAGTATTATGTAAATTATATTTGTAAATATGTAAATTAACAATGTGCACTCCTTAATGTTAGCTGTTGTCAGATCTACCCATTTATTTGACACAAAACATGTAATTTTGGATCATCCGTCGGACTTTTGACAGGTCCCAGGCTTTTGTTAATACTAAAGATTGCATTTATGCATTCTGACAGTCAGATGGACGGAGGGGTGGTGCCCAGTGCATTATGGGTGTTGGAAGTTTTCCTACCTTTCTGGCAAAAGGGAATTCAACAGCCATTTTTTCTAGTCATTGAGCACAATAAAAACAAACAAAAAAATGCTTTATTAAAAGCCCATCTGGCCAGCTGTGAATTATCCCTTTAATGATGGACAAATGAGTCTGACAGTTTTTCTGTCTCTCTTAATGACATGCTTTTTAACATCTTCAACATTGTGTGTGTGTGTGTATTTATATAGGTTGTCTAATTGAGCAGCTTACAGAGGAAAAGTATGAGTGTATGGTCTGTTGTGAAGTTATCCGGGTTATGGCTCCGGTTTGGAGTTGTCAGAGCTGTTTCCACGTATTCCACCTTAACTGCATCAAGAAATGGGCTCGATCACCTGCATCTCAAGCTGATGGTATGTTAACTGCCTCTCACCTTGGATAGAGGACATTACCATAGACTGTATATATAGCTGTCATTAGAAGAGTCCCGCTTTGGACTGCATATGTGCATTGCCAGGATCACCCTGAAATATCCACTTTTTAAGGCTATTTGAGTTTAAGAAGCAACATTTATGAAACGGTTTATGTCAGATTTTATTGTTTATTTCAAATATGTGATTTTGTTGAGAAATTTTTAGATTTAAGTAGATAGCAGTTGTTTCTGCATACCTGAAATAGCTTCCTGGAGGCATTGCAAGTATGGACTTTAACTTACTATACTGGCAGGCTACTGTATACAGGATTTCAAAAAAACAAAAACAAGTGTCAAATACAGTGGGCTAACCCTCAGCAGTGTCTGTTGTACAACAGTAACCATAGTTTAATAACAAATTTAAATGGTTCAATATTTACAGATGGCATTGGCACTGAAGGTTGGCGTTGTCCTGCATGCCAGAATGTGGCACTGAAAGCCCCAAATGTGTATACCTGCTTCTGTGGTAAGATTATTGTGTTCTGCACCTCACATGATGTTTTGTCGTAATCTTTCGAATTTTGTGAAATGATAATTTGGGTTTATTTATTTAATGGATAGTGCTGTAAAACTGAAGGTTCTCTAGATTTCTGTTTATTCACCTTTCATTTTAATGAACAGGGAAGGTGACCAATCCTGAGTTTCAGCGCACTGAGATCCCTCATAGCTGTGGAGATATGTGTGGGAAAAAGAGGAGTGGAGCGGAATGCAATCACCCCTGTAACATGTAAGCACAAAACCATATATTAATGATCAACAGTGGACCTTTTTTGCCTGTGTACATTTGCCAAAATTGACCACACCATAAGAAACATGTCTAATGAATTTGATACCAGCTTAATTAATATAGATGCTTTCTTAAGAGTGATTACTCAACTAGTCATTCAGGCAACTCGATTTCTTTTTAAATTGTTTGCACAGCTGTGATTTTGTCTATATTTATGATAAGTCTAATGACATGGGTCAATCCAGTGTTGACATTCTTGCTTAAGACTTTCTCTTGTGCTTTGTAGCTTGTGCCATCCTGGGCCCTGCCCACAATGCCCTGCTTTTATCACCAAATCCTGCATTTGTGGGAGAATGAGGTACTATTAACTATTTCTAATTAACTCTATATGAAATGCTTTACCCAGAAATATGGAGGCAAAACAACAGCGTTTTCTTGTGTGTGCGCAGTAAGCAGGTGCGTTGCAGTCAGGCAGGACCTTTGCTTTGTGAAGAAGTCTGTGGGGCTCTTCTGAACTGCTCAGAGCACTCCTGTGCCCAGGTGTGCCACTCAGGGCCATGCCAACCCTGCCGACTTCGTGTCCAGCAAGGTCAGTAGTGCACAGTAATCCTTGTGTCATTTGATTGGTTTCAGAGTCTATACAGTAATCTAATTTTATACGTGGTAATTCTCCAGCAATGTATTTGTACCCTTTTAGCCTGCTTCTGTGGTGTGGTGTTCAGGGAGGTGGCATGTGGAACTGATCATGAGAATTTTGATGGATCAGGATATTTCTCCTGTTGCAAGCCATGTGGAAAGTATGTTGTACTAACTTAAAATCTCCTCACTTATCAATGTATGACATAGGGGTGGTGTATGATATAATTTTATTTCACTTTAACGATATATATCACGATATAGTTATTTTTGCTTTAAATAAGGTAATGATATAAAAAAAACTGATACCATTGAAATTTCATAATTCTTATCACCATTTTTAATATCGTAAAAAAAACTAATACTAGCCTAAAAAAACTCTCAAGCTTCCTGAAGACAAGTAAACTGAGAAATCAAACTACAATAGAACAAAGACTACCTGAAAAACTTCAAGCACTAGAAATACTACATAAAATGTATAAAGTAATCAAATACTTATAAAAAGTAAATTAAACAAAGCACAGCACAGCATCGTCACATGAGCGTAACCACGATAGAGACGATAGTCCAAAATCTCTACCGGTTGTCAAATTTCTACTGGTTAATCGTGTCTACCATCTATATATCGCCCACCCCTAGGATGACATTAAATAATTTAACAACATTACTCTATGCAGAGCCTTGATATCAAACTTACCTTGTGTTCTAGACCTTTTTTTTATTTTATTATGTGTTTCATTAATTATTTTTGACCTTTGACCTTTTGGTTATTTTCTAAAGACATTTGTATTCATTAATTTTGCATGCATTTTCAGTTAATGTTTGTGAGCTCTCATCTGTCAATCTGTTGCTCTAGGGTGCTAGACTGCCAGTCTCATCGCTGTCAGCAGCCATGCCACCCTGGGCAGTGCCAGCCGTGTGCACTCAGCCCCAAGCTGGTACGCAGTTGTTCGTGTGGACAGACTCCACTCTCTAAGCTTCTAGAGCTTGGCTACCCAGAGAGAAAGACCTGTACTGACCCCATCCCCTCCTGTGGCAAGACCTGCAACAAGCCTCTGCCATGTGGAGATGATGGTATGGGCCAGTTTTTTTGTACATAAATTGAACTGAAATATAAGTTAGTTGTTAAAAGTGTTATATTTCTTTTGCACTTGTGTCTGATCTGCTGTAGATTCTGTCCACTTGTGTGAAAAGCTCTGCCATGAGGACAGCTGTGGGCCATGCTCTTTGACATCATCTATTAAATGCAGATGTGGCAGTAATAGCAAGGTTGGACTGCTATTTTACAGTTGCACTAAAGTCAGAGAAGTTCTGAAAACAGCAAATGTAATTCATACTCTGTTTTTTTTTTTTATAGGAAGTTCCTTGTGCAGCGATTCAGACTGAAGGTAAGGCTTTTGGTGATTGTGATTGTGATAACAGGGCAGTTATTGTAACTAACACTTTATTTAACACATTGTGGGCCAGATTTAAATAAATGAATAAATTTTGCATTTGAAAGGGAAACTCCTACAAATGCATATGCGATAAGGTCAGCCACAAAAATAACTGTCCACGGCTTTTCAACTCTAATTTTTCACGGCGGGTCGTTAGTAAATCCTGACTGTGGTTTTTTTAACGCCAAAAGAGGGTTTGCACTGGTGCAAGCTGTTAGTAAATCTGGCCCTATATGTACTATTCCAGAGTAGCAAATGTAATGCTAAAGTACTGTCCTCTACAGAGGACATGGTGTTTACCTGTGAGAAACGCTGCATCAAGAAGCGCTCTTGCGGCAGGCACAAGTGTGGAGAGTTGTGTTGTGTGGTGAGTCTTTTATGTTTTCATGAATGTTTTATCTGGGTGCAATAATAACAAGACAGGTTTAAGTAAACATTCTCTGTCTTTATCAGGATATGGAGCATAAGTGCTCAATGATTTGTGGCTACAAGCTCAATTGTGGTCTACACCGATGTCAGGACCTTTGTCACCGTGGCAACTGCCAGCCTTGTTGGCAAACCAGTAAGCTTTACCACCAGGGTGACACCCGTGTATTGAACATCTTGATGTATGTCCATCCCTTTTCTTCATATCAGCATTGTGTGTGTTTATTCTAAGGCTTTGACGAGTTGGCATGCTTCTGTGGGGAGACTGTGCTCTTCCCGCCCATCCCTTGTGGAACCAGACCTCCTGAATGTAAAAACTTGTGTACCCGGAGTCATGATTGTGATCACCCAGGTACTCCTGCCTGCTCAGAAAATCACAGATATACTTAATAACAGATATATGTGAAGATAGATGTATACACATATACTGTATATGGTTGATTATGAAAGTTGTCAGTCTGTACGTTCCTACCCTTGACATTTTTCAGTTCAGATACAATTGCAAACATTGAAACATACTAAAGTAATGTACTAATGTATACTAAAAGTAAATGATGAACTGAATCATAAACTTGAATTACACTACCGTTGCATAAGGCTGCATTTATTTGTTTAAAAATACTTCCTGATATATTTTCTAATATTTTTTTTAAATTAAAATAACCTTTTTCTATTTTTATATACTTTAAAATGCAATTTATTCCTGTGATGGTAAAGCTGAATTTGCAGCATCATTGCTCCAGTCTTCAGTGTCACATGATCCTTCAGAAATCAATATGCTGATTTTCTTCTCAAGAAACATTTCTTATTATTATCAATGTTGAAAACAGTTGTGCTGCTTAATAATTTTGTGGAAACCATGATATATTTTGTCAGGATTCTTTGATGAATAGAAAGTTGAAGAGCAGTATTTATTTGAATTAGAGATATTTTGTAGCAATGTAAAAGTCTTTACTTTCACTTTTGATCAACTTAACGCTCCCTTGCATAATGAAAGTATTATTTTCTTAATGACCCTAAACCTTTGAAAAGTAATATGAATTGTAAAGGTTGTGCAGCTAATGGTTTTGTTTCTATGATTTTCCCATAGTGTTCCATTCATGCCATAGTGATGAGATATGTCCTCCCTGTACCTACCTCACTAAGAAGTGGTGCATGGGTAATCATGAGGTAAAAAGACGTTTTAAAACAACAAGCCAAGTTTTTGTTTTTTTCACATTTTAAGCGTAGCATTTGAAAAGTGGGTGGTTTTAAATGCAATACATTTTCTATCAAATCCTATTTAGCACTCTATTCAAGGAAAGTTCCAAATCATCATCATTTTCACATTTCTCCCTAGCAAAGGAGTAATATCCCATGCCACCTACAGGACATCTCATGTGGTTTAGTGTGTGAGAAGCTCTTACCTTGTACTTCTCATCGGTGTAAGAGGATATGTCACCGCGGGGAATGTCAGGCAGATGGAGAGTGTAAGCAGCCATGCACTCATCCTAAACCTGGCTGTGGGCACCCCTGTGCTGCTCCCTGCCATCCAGGAATCCCCTGTCCACCCAATATCTGCAGTGCCAAGGTACAGCCTTTCCCTCTTCCTAAATCTACTCAGTTGGTTATTGATGGAACATGCAGTTATTGCTCAAAGCAGTCCTTTGTTTCCTCGGCCGTAGCCTAATCTGATTCCTCAGCTGCAGGGTTCTTGTTGTCTGGCACATGCTCACCAGACAAACGTTATAGATTATATGAAGTATTGGGATGAAGCAGTAAATTATGGTTTTCACATACATCTATTATGGTTGTTTGTTATAGCTTGTCACAATTAATCTTCAGATTATTTGTTGTTTTCAAGTGTGGAAAACAGATTAGAAGAATTGGATGTTTTGAGCACAAGTATTACTCCTCAGCTATATATATTTATTTTTTCGTAAACGCTTTCATTTTCTGTACTCAATTATTCTTTACCAAAAAATAATCAAAATGGTGAGCCTTGCGTTATACTCACACTTATTTCCTATTTTCAATCTCTAGGTGGCACTGCAGTGTGACTGTGGCCGCAAGAAAGAGACCGTCCCTTGTGCTGATGCAGCCAGTTCCTACCAAAGGTTAAAACATGTCAAGCTATCAAAGCCTTCATAGACATTCAGTGTGTAATTTAGTATAGTAGTGATACCGACTTAAGTTAGTTTAGTATGGAAGTAAAATAATGCCAAATTTGAAACAAAAAAAGCCTGTTGAATTGCACTACTTGAAAATAAATAGGCATTGCATTAACCATGCTTGCATTTTAATGCATTGTATTTTTAGGGCTTGCATTTTTATGGGCTGAAATTCAACATGGTTGAATATTTAAGCTGTGAATATTTCAATTCAAAACATTTCAAACACATTTTCATTATTCAAAATTCAATAATCCATCACCTTTCATATTTCACTTCCAAAATATTCAAACTGTTTAAAAATACAACCTATAATATTCAACAGGCAATTTTTGGTCCATTTTATTTCACTTTGCAAATTCGCTTCCACAAATTCAGTGGTTCAAATTCAACAGTAAATTCAACGTTGACATCCAGGAACTGCAGGAATAGCAGTAGATTACAGAGCATACTTTCCATCTGCTGTTAGTCGACCTCACCAGCAGGAGGTGCAAAAGCGCGTGTTGTTGACGAAGACCAGAGCAACAGTTAGAGCAAGCTAGCCTGGATTCCAGCCGAACTTAGCCCCGCCCACAACATTTGAGGATGGGAAGTTCAGTCTGGACTTGATCCGTTGAGAAGCAAGTATGCCCGAACCAAAGCTGTTCGGACCAATAAAATTGTCAGGGCGGGCTTTATGCGATGATGGACAGATGATCAACAGTAACGTAATCATCCACGTCACCAAAGAGCGCTTGGGTTGAATTCGTTTACAACAAAGTATGGCTGCCGCTGGAGAATTTAGATGTGTAGATTCAGCCATCGCGTCTGTTATAGAAGATATCGACAGCGCATTCATTTTAAAAGAGGAACCGAGAACTGCGAGAAGGCATTTGTCGACCGGAAAGATGTTTTTGCCGTCCTTCCTACGGGATTCGGTATCCAAATGAGTGCAGAGGCATTTTTTTCCTGGTTCTGTTGAAACCATAGCCATCTAAAGTGGGCGGGGCCGGCCGTTGCCATCTTGGCAGCGCGTCACCTCTCGTCACTCCCGGATAAAATAAAATGGGCAAAGAGGCGGGATGTGGGTGGAGCTGAGGTGCTAATGCTATATGCTACTGGCCTCGCGCTAAAGTGACAGCTGATTGAAGAAGTAAAGCCAATAGTTAAAGTTCATGTTTTTGCCCTTCGAAATACTATAATAGTTAAAAGACGTAACTAAAAGTGAGACTGTGTATCGTGATGCATTATTATTCTGCTAGTTAAAAATGTATTATCATACAGTAACTTACAATATTGCTCTGAGCTTGTGCGTGTGACAGTGATTCATGCGCATACATGTCAGTCAGCATGGCATCGCACGTCAAGTTCGTAAAGAGCTTTATTCAGTCCATTTTAAAATCTGATTTTGGCCGCCTCTCAATTTCTCAAATGGGTTAAACCAAAGATATTATCTCAGAAGTTCAAGTAAATGCACTAGAAACCCGCGCTCATTCAAGGGTGTGCATCTACTGCATGGACGGAGAGAAAGCACTGACACCTGCAGGATTTCATCTGACGGTACTTTCACTAAAAAGTTAAATAAGCATATCTGTTCCGTGAGAGCAACAGTGCCGCATAACGAGTGTGGTCTCTATATCTATAGACGTTTTTAAATCTAAACTCCAAAAAGCAACAAAATTGTCAGACATCCATTATCGTTACTGCATGCGAGGAAAAACAACTAGAAATACAGCGCTGGTTGTTCTCTCAATACTCGACAACGACGGAATCCAACGGCGTGGGCGAAGGTATAATGCGTGTATTAAATTGTATGAAATAATCTAGAAAAAAGCACAAACACGGCAGAGATGGCAAGTACAGCAGCTGCTGGAATTAGCTGAGGGTGACGTTAACAGACAGCAGACAAACGGCTAGCAGTGACAGCAGCCGCAATCCACCTGTCACTCAAGTGGCCACGCCCTTAATTATGCAGAACTTTAAGGCTTAATATAATTTCAACGGATGAGTTGTAAAAAAAATCACCCCCCTCACAGTTGTCATGAAGGGCAAAATAAGCTATAAAGACCAAAACCACTATTTGCCACCAGGCTGTAAACATATTTTTTTCTGCTGTAAAGTTGGGCATTTTAAAATGGGGGAGATACAGATTTGACTCACTTTTGCTGCCAGCCTCAAGCGGTCAGTAGATGAATTGCAGTTTAATTCACTTCCGTGTTGGTTTCAAGAGAGAGACAGGGAGGTTGCCGCTGGGTTGAAACGCCCAATAAACACAGCCCAATGGAGCAGTATCAGACTCACATTCTGACTAGAATCTGAGTATGGCGACATCAGTCTAAGAGCAAGCCATTCATTCAAACTCATTTACAGCAATTGAGCATGCATTAAGTTTTTGTGATGATTATCTGGGTCAGTATATAGCCTATGCGGAGAAGATGTATAAGACACAAAAGCTGTGTTTGTTTAATTGTGTTCGCCATGGTTACTATGCTCGTACTGCACGAGCGGAAACCAGGGATAACGCGGATATTACGTCAGTGACAGGCGACAAGTGAAAATTCCGGGACGGACAATTATTTAAAATTGGAATTTCTCTAAAATTAAAAATCTTTGGGAACTTTTGGGATATTGTAAGTACACAACTGCAGGAAATATATCACACTGTGCAAGTGATTTTTGGATATTTTATTACAAAATTCTTACATCAAACGGTATGGTACAACCGTTTGATTGACGCACATACAGTCCAATGATTTTAGGTGGTCTTGGAAATTATTGGCTGGAGTTTTTCGAGTCCTGTCCGTTCCACAGATGATTAAATTGCTTAATTTTCATTTCAGTGCTTCTAACTGTAAGTGGGTTAGGAATAGGATTTCAAGTGATTTTGAAAAAATGGTCAAAAAAGAAAATCACATACCCCACCTTTAAGCCTTGTGTTGGTAATTTGGCTGAATCACCAGCAGTTTCTTTTCTTTCTTATCCCCCCCCCCCCCCCCCGCTAAACACTAATTGTGTGCAGTCACAGCAAGTCGATACATATGAAATGAATGATATACATTTGCAAATAAGACTGCTGCTAGCAATGTCAAACATTCTTGTTGATCAGAGGTCAAACACAATTTTCATCTCTATATTCTGCAGATATGCAGCTATTGCTGTGGCCAGTAAGCTGTCAGATATGCAGCTGGGAGAGTCTGTTGATATTGGACAGCTCACAAAGAAGGAGCAGAAAAAGGCCAGGTATACTCGCAAACTATAGCTTGCTAGACTGCTTGTTTTTATTAGTCGTCCAGAAGAGTAGTCTGTGGGTCAGTGTTTACCTTATGTGCATGGCAGCATTAGTGATCTTTGCTGTTTCTGACAAGTTCAAAGTTGAAGGAGAGAACAAGTTGAACTTGACACTCACCAAGCACAAAATGCAAGTAAAAATTGTTTTTGGTGATTAAATACATTTCCAGTGGCTGGTAACTTCATAAGGAACTAATTTTAATAACTTTTACTGCAGAAGTTTGAAGTATGCTTTGTAATATGCTACAGTTGTGGAGTAACCTTTTTATTTGGACGTTCTCTTATTCAGATTGGAGTGTGATCAAGAGTGCGCTACACTGGAGAGGAACAGGTGAACTTAAAGATGAAAAAGGCTTATTTAGGGTGTTTACACTTGGCATGTTTGGTTTGATTCAAACAAACCCTGGTGTAATTGCTCTGTTAGTGTGAATATATGAACACAACATGGACCAAAGACATGTAAAGGAACCAAAAACGGGACATGATGTCACAAGATGTCACAAGATTAGAATGCTCAAGAATACCTGTTTTTTCTCATCATTGTTGCCCATCAAAGTTCTGTACAGGCATCAGTGCCCGGTGTCATAAAGCACCTCAAGTGTTTTCCTTAAGTATGACACTTAAGGTGTTATTTCCCCTTAACTAAGGGAATGACTTCAGGGTGTTACATATGATCCCTTAAACAACGCGCACACTTAATTTGAACAATGCTTATAAATAAATACCTAAATTACAATTTGTTTATCATTTAAAGTGGCTGATCGTGTTTTGTTACAAGACTTGGATTGAACCTGCTTGTACCATGAACAATTAATCCAAGCGAACCGAACTACAAGTGTGAACACACCCTTGCACATCATTTCCCTCTATCTGTGCCTGTATATATTAGATGTGTCTATGTGGGTGCGCTGGTTTTGATGTTTTCTGTTTTGCCTCTAGACGGCTAGCTGAGGCCCTGCAGATTGATCACACAGTGGATCCCTTCAACAAGTCAACATCTTCCAAATTTACTGACTCTCTCAAAGAGGATGCAAGGTGGTTCAAATTTTAAAATAGTGCAAGAATGCATCAACAGAATAAATCTATGGCATGGCAGTATGAGACATCATGATGAAGACACCATCCATTTTACTGAAATACTTCTGTTGCATTCAGTCTCGCAGTTTGATTCACTACACTTAATAAGTTCTATTACTTGCCAAATGCTTCAAAAGGATCCATACTCCGAACATAGAAATTGGGATCATATCCTTTTAAAATTAACAAATTCTTATTCTTTAATTAATGTCTGTCTCGTGGCTCAACAGCAGTAGTAACTGTGCACTAAAGCATTGGCAGTTGAGTTTGGGTTCTTGCACACATTTTGCTTTGCTTCGAAGTGTAGAATATACACCCAAAATGTTAAATGTTTAGTCTACTACAGAGCCAAGGGAAGGCCTGATCACTCACACTTAGGATTTTTTTTAATACAGGAGAGATTTCAAGTTCGTCAGTGAAGTTGAGGAAGAGATTAAAAATTTAGTTGAATTGGCTAATAAGGTAAGATGTAGACTAATGATCACACCATAAATAGTTCTTTTAAAATTGACTATCCAAACATCATTTTTCAGAGCTCTGTAATTGTTTTTCCTCAGGGTAAACCATCTAAAAGGAGTCACTGTTTCCCACCTATGAAGCGTGAACACCGGAGAATTATCCATGAGCTAGCTGAGGCATATGGTGTGGAAAGCGTCAGCTATGACAGCGAACCCAAGCGTAATGTAGTGGTCACTGCTATCAGGTCAGCAAAAACTACAAATTTTAGATTAGGAACTGTAATATTAAAAACTATTCTTTTGGTAAGCAAACACAAGTAAACTTTGAGGATGACATATGCCCTGTCAGTTGCACTGGGTACTCTTGAAAATGATTGTTCTATATGTTGTGTTTTCAGGGGGAAATCAGCATGTCCTAACTCTACTCTGGCTGCTTTGATTGAAAGGGAAACTGTTGCCAGAGCCCCTCCTCCCATTGCCCACATCAAACAACACAACAGCAAGTAGGTTCACACACACCTCTGTTTTAATTTTTTACGACTTTTTTTTAATTGTTTTTTAAAGAGGTCTCTTGTGTTTACCAAGGCTGCATTTATTTGATCAAAAATACAGTAATAGTAATAAAATATATTAATTTAAAATAAGTTTTCTATTTGAATATATTTTTAAGTATAACTTATACCTGTGATGCAAAGCAGAATTTTCAGTGTCACATGATCCTTAAGAAATCATTCTAATATGCTGATTTGCTGCTCAAGAAACATGTCTTATTATTATCAATGTTGAAAACAGTTATGCTGCCTAATATTTTTGTGGAAATTGTATCTTTTTTTTTCAGAATCTATGATGAATAGAAGGTTCCAAACAAGATCATTTATTTAAAATAGAAATTGTTTGTAACATTATAAATGTCTTTACTGATCCATGGGCTGCACGATATATCATTTTAGCATCGATATCGCGATGTGCGCAGACACAGTCTCTTTCTCTGATTTTTTTTTTAGCTTGACCAGACATGTGCACGCAAAATTAAGTCTAAATATGTTTCCGCAAGTATCTACGTAAACACTGTAGGTTATGTGTTGTAAACAATATGCTTATCATTATATTGGATCCATGCATTCATCTTAAAGTGACAGCAGCCTAATATACCCGCAGCTGTTTGTCACCACCAATGTTAATCAAACAACAAAAGAGAAAACCACTTTTGTAGCTTTAACAAAGATAAATTGTATTAATTAATTATATTAATTATATTTAATTTATACAGTGAAAACTATGCAGTGTTAATTTGCATTTGATTATTCAATGTCTGTACCTGAATAGTTAGATTTACCTGAAAAACATAAAGCACTATACTTATTGTATACTTGTTCTATTGTATCTTTGCTTGAAATTTGTTTATTATTTATGCAGATGCGCTCTCCTACAAAATTACCCCAGTCATTCTAGAATGATTAATTCTTTACAAATAGAGCTATTCAAATCATCTGGTGAAATTGTTTTCATATCGGAATATATATCGCTGAAAAACAAACTATCACAATGTCAGTTTTTTCCAATATCGTGTTGCCCTATTATGCATCGATGTTGATTAAAAGTATCACACAAATCTTATTTACCCCAAACATTTGAACGTTAGTGTATATGATTACTCTACACACTCACCTAAAGTTAGGAACACCATACTAATACTGTGTTTGACCCCCTTTTGCCTTCAGAACTGCCTTAATTCTACGTTGCATTGATTCAACAAGGTGCTGAAAGCATTCTGAAATGTTTGAAAATGTTGAAATGTTGGCCCATATTGATAGGATAGCATCTTGCAGTTGATGGAGATTTGTGGGATGCACATCCAGGGCACGAAGGTCCCGTTCCACCACATCCCAAAGATGCTCTATTGGGTAGAGATCTGGTGACTGTGGGGGCCATTTTAGTACACTGAACTCATTGTCATGTTCAAGAAACCAATTTGAAATGATTCGAGCTTTGTGACATGGTGCATTATCCTGCTGGAAGTAGCCATCAGAGGATGGGTACATGGTGGCCATAAAGGGATGGACATGGTCAGAAACAATGCTCAGGTAGGCCGTGGCATTTAAACGATGCCCAATTGGCACTAAGGGGCCTAATGTGTGCCAAGAAAACATCCCCCACACCATTACACCACCACCACCAGCCTGCACAGTGGTAACAAGGCATGATGGATCCATATTCTCATTCTGTTTACGCCAAATTCTGACTCTACCATCTGAATGTCTCAACAGAAATTGAGACTCATCAGACCAGGCAACATTTTTCCAGTCTTCAACTGTCCAATTTTGGTGAGCTCTTGCAAATTGTAGCCTCTTTTTCCTATTTGTAGTGGAGATGAGTGGTACCCGGTGGGGTCTTCTGCTGTTGTAGCCCATCCGCCTCAAGGTTGTGCGTGTTGTGGCTTCACAAATGCTTTGCTGCATACCTCGGTTGTAACGAGTGGTTATTTCAGTCAAAGTTGCTCTTCTATCAGGTTGAATCATTCGGCCCATTCTCCTCTGACCTCTAGCATCAACAAGGCATTTTCGCCCACAGGACTGCCGCATACTGGATGTTTTTCCCTTTTCACACCATTCTTTGTAAACCCTAGAAATGGTTGTGCGTGAAAATCCCAGTAACTGAGCAGATTGTGAAATACTCAGACCGGCCCGTCTGGCACCAACAACCATGCCACGCTCAAAATTGCTTAAATCACCTTTCTTTCCCATTCTGACATTCAGTTTGGAGTTCAGGAGATTGTCTTGACCAGGACCACACCCCTAAATGCATTGAAGCAACTGCCATGTGATTGGTTGATTAGATAATTGCATTAATGAGAAATTGAACAGGTGTTCCTAATAATCCTTTAGGTGAGTGTATAAGGCCCTATCGTAAATTATTATAATTATTTATATGAGTTGTTGATACTGTTATGAGGTGGACTGTATAAAGTCCTCTGGTAAATCCACACTCTGTTGTCATTCATAGTAAATAATACTTATTGGTATGGCCTGGAGAGATGTTTTTTCCCATTCATTTAGTTTATCAATGTAATATGAATGGTTTTGTTGAGTGTAAAGTGTATCATAACTAATAAAGTTATTTATTCACATTTGTTTCAGGGCTGACAATAGTAACGCTTGGATGAAACCATCTAAAGAGGAGCCCACAATTGATTATTTTGATGTGCAGGATTGATATGGAATTTTGAATAGTCACTGTAATAACAATCACAAAATAAAACTTTCCAAAGTCCATAGACTTGTATAGTGTCAGTTCTGAACACAAAGAAAGTGAGATTCTACAGCTGTGATTTATGGACATGTTTGTTAGGTTTTCCAAAGAGCAAACATGTAGGAGTTAAAATTAATGTGGTTTCTGTACACAAGTTAAAAACAAATAAAAAAATACTAGATGTATTTGAAGGTTTGGGGGTGACGCATTACAAGTGATGCGAGATATGTAATCAGATTACTTTTTTCAAGTAACTAATAAAGTAATGGGAAGGTTGTTGATTGTGGCCTGTGGAATGTTGGTCCACTCCTCTTCAATGGCTGTGCGAAGTTGCTGGATATTGGCAGGACCTGGAACACGCTGTTGTATACGCCGATCCAGAGCATCCCAAACACATTCATTCATGTTGACTGCAGGAATGTCCACCAGAACTGTTCATTTCATTTCATTCATTCATGTTGCCAGTGAATTGAATGTTCATTTCTCTACCATAAGCCGTCTCCAAAGGCGTTTCAGAGAATTTGGCAGTACATCCAACCGGCCTCACAACCACAGACCATGTGTAACCACACCACCCCAGGACCTCCACATCCAGCATCTTCACCTCCAAGATCGTCTGAGACCAGCCACCCGGACTGCTGCAACAATCGATTTGCATAACCAAACAATTTCTGCACAAACTGTCAGAAACCGTATCAGGGAAGCTCATCTGCAAGCTCGTCGTCCTCATCGGGGTCTCGATCTGATTGCAGTCTGTCGTCGTCCGATATTTGCGGTTTTTACGTGTATCGGAATCGGCCGATACGCGGCTGCTGCGTTCGCCGATAGTTTTTTCCCGGCATTATTTATAGGCAGGCGTCCACAGGCAGCTGCTGCTGGAGACGCTGCAGTTCACGTGCAGACCCTGCACTGTCCCTCCCCCACTAGCAGAGTGCAACCTGCGCTTCAAGATAACGGTAACTTTTAAACTTTCAAAGCATCTTTTAACTGTTTGACTGCTGAAATATTGTCAAACACTTTGAAAATGGAAACACGTTGCTCTATAACTGTTATGTGGTTGCAACTATATAGCTAAGCAAGTTTGTGGGTCCAAATGGAAAACGCGAATGACTCGTCTATAAAACTGCTTGCTTGCCATTGTATTTAGGGAGCTGCAAATAGCTGTAGGCTATCCGTTCAGTATGCATTAGGGCTGTCAATGAATATTCTAAATACGAATATATATTCGAATAGTTTAAAAAAAAACTGAATTTTAAAGGTGAAAATTAATATTCGAATGTGGAAAAACACGCCCGCGGTAGCAGACTAACGTTACCACAGCACAGCTCGCTCAGTGTCGGTTCTATGTACTGTGAAACTTCAATTAATGTATTTGTTTCAATCACTGAATGAAGCCTGCTATATACCTTAAATTGCTTGCACAAAACTCTTGATCAGCACTCAACATTTGTTTGTTGCTGTTCATTTAAACCGGTATGCGCGGAGAGCGTGAAGCCTTGTTTATACTCGACGCGTCCGCACGAGCGCGAGTCTCCGCTGACTGCGCGCGCACCTCTCCAAACGGACGAGGCGTTTATACTCGACGCGCTCGCCGTTGTGCTATTCTGTGAAACGACAGGGGGCGACTCGGAGTAATTCTACTCTAAACCACCAGGAATCAGCAGTGAAGAAGTAGTTTGCCGTTTATTAGTAGTTTATTAATTGCTGATTCATATAAAAAGAGTAATAAATGCAGTAGGTTTATTGTACTTTCACTGCATGTAAACTAGTTAAACAACTGAAGCCTTATTGAAGAGTGTTTAAACCTTAATTTCATCAGCAGGGCTAATTACTTCTGCTATTGTAGGCTTATTTTGTAAATATAAGCAGTTACTTTAGAGTGCAAACTGTGTGTTTGATGCAAATGTGTTCCTATTCACAAAATGAGAGGCTTTTATGGTCGCCCATCAATGCAAATGTCTCTGTGTATAGAAGGATCATAAACATCCTGGTACAGACGTACCAGTTCGGCCAGATTCGGCTCGAAGTCGTTCATCTTCGGATGCGGCGCCGCGCGCGATGTTACAAAAAGTGCCGTGCACACCGCCAGGCGAAATGGGGTCTTGCGCACCCAACGCGCACGACCGCCCACACCGCAATTACGTCATTTTTGCCGCGCGCACCTTCGCGCTCTTGCGGACGCGTCGAGTATAAACAAGGCTTGAGGGTGAGTGCGGGAGAGAGAGAGAGAGTGCGCCTGCGAGTCCGGGCGAGCCAGAGTGAGCTCTGCGGTCTTGGCCATTAGTTGATTTACTCGTTTTTTTTTTTGTAGTAATACGTTGTCAAATATGTTTAAACTCAAATAAGCTACTTAATACTAGTAGTTATGTCTCTTTGTATTAATTTGTCCTGTTATTGACGTAATGCGCGTCATTGACCAAATGCACGACGATATGCTCAAATATGTTTTTTTAGAGGGAATATACAAACGCCATTTGAGCAATTTTGACAGCCCTAGTATGCGTACGGTAGCTGTTACGAACACTGGTCATAGGATAAGTAATACCAACGTTGTTCCGTGCTTTTTGTGGGAGATTTATTCAGCGACCACCTGGCTGAGGTTTGCACCTGGCTGAGGTTTGCACCTGGCTGAGGTTTGGACGCGTGTGGTGTGTGTCTCCCTCGCCATCGCAGTGATATTAGAGACCAGACATGCTCATTTTATTTTATTTTATGTAGAAAAATTTAAACCATGGCAGTAAATAGTTAGTTACTTTTAAAATGAAGTACAGTGTGCACTGTGCACTTTATTATGCTGGTTGCTACTGTGTGCAATAGTGTAATTATTTTATTTATGCTTAAATATTTATTTTCAGCAGTGAACTTTTTTTTTGTTCTACCTCATGTTTTTAATATTTATTAAATATTGTTTATCTACTTGTTCTTGTTCTACCTCACATGTTTTTACTATTTGTTAAATATTGATTTTTTTACGTTAAAGGGATACTCCACCAGTTTTTCTTATTAAACTATGTTATTCCCTTAACTAAGACGAGTTGATACATACCTCTCTCGTCTCAGTGCGTGCACTATATCCCTCTGTATTGCCGCAAAACTATGTTAGCACTTAGCTTAGCCCATGCATTAAATATGGGCCAAGCAGAGAAGCGACCAAACACTTCCACGTTTTCCCTATGTAAACACAGTTACTCGAGTAGTGTAACTTGACCTGGGCTGGTGACACAAAATAAACCGTTGCGCTTTTCTAAGCGTTTAAAATTGATGACTATATTGTATGGCGGAATACCATAACAAGTGCTTTTGAGCACTTCGACTTGGCGCAATAATATCTTCACTCGTGAAAAGATTACCGGCTCCCGCTTCCTCTCCCCCTCCCTCCAATAGCATCCAGCTGCTGACATTTCCGTCAATACTACCAACGTGACTTTTACTACCTGTGCTATTAGCAAACTGCAGATCATTTGCAATGGCCGACTTTGTAGATGATTATGACTTCTTTTAGTAGACCCAGAGCCATATCTGTTTGAACCCGAGTACACGGAGGAGGAATTAGCTCTTGTGGACCGTGAGAGGCAAGAAAGATATGATCCAGAACAGACCGGAGCTGGCGAAAGACCACGGGCTTTCTGTAAGTGATCTGAATATTGTTGGTGTAGCCTCATCCTTTAGGCGTGTTCCTGTGCAGGTATAGTCCTTCTTTGTGAAATGTTCGGAGCAAACACGCCACTTCTTCAGAGTCATCAATGGTGTTTTGGGATTCTTGTTCAAAGCAGCTAACCAAGCTCTCCGCTGTATGTGGTGTGTTGGAATTCGGTGAAAAATGACAGCACTATGTACATTCTCCTTATTTTCACAACCCTTTACGATGCACGCTTTAACCATTATTGTACACAAACTAGCTTCCAACAACCTGTTACTTCGTCAACTCCGCTCAAACTACTACTACCGGCGCATGTCACGTTGTATTGACGGAAATGTCAGAGGGAGGGGGAGAGGAAGCGGGAGCCGGTAAGAGGACTTTTCACGAGTGAAGATATTATTGCGCCAAGTCGAAGTGCTCAAAAGCAATTGTTATGGTATTTCGCCATACAATATAGTCATCAATTTTAAACGCTTAGAAAAGCGCAACGGTTTATTTTGTGTCACCAGCCCAGGTCAAGTTACACTACTCGAGTAACTGTGTTTACATAGGGAAAACGTGGAAGTGTTTGGTCGCTTCTCTGCTTGGCCCATATTTAATGCATGGGCTAAGCTAAGTGCTAACATAGTTTTGCGGCAATACAGAGCGATATAGTGCACGCACTGAGACGAGAGAGGTATGTATCAACTCGTCTTAGTTAAGGGAATAACATAGTTTAATAAGAAAAACTGGTGGAGTATCCCTTTAAATAAATGTTACTTTTATTAAATTGAGACCTGTAACATTTGTTAACATCATGTCATTTTTATGATGTAAATTGAGGGAGCAAAATGTATCGGCTCCAAATATCGGCTCAAGAAAATCGGCAGCCCGTATCGGTCATCGGCTAAGGCTGATGGGGAAAAAATCGGTATCGGCACTAAAAAATCCATATCGGTCGATCCCTAGTCGTAACCGACTTGAGTGGGCAAATGCTCACATTTCGATGGCGTCTGGCACTTTGGAGAGGTGTTCTCTTCACGGATGAATCCCGGTTTTCACTGTACAGGGCAGATGGTAGACAGCGTGGATGGCGTGAGTGGTTTGCTGATGTCAACGTTGTGGATCGAGTGGCCCATGGTAGCGGTGGGGTTATGGTATGGGCAAGCGTATGTTATGGACCACGAACACAGGTGCATTTTATTGATGGCATTTTGAATGCACAGAGATACCGTGACGAGATCCTGAGGCCCATTGTTGTGCCTCACTAACACAGATTTAGACAGATTTGTGAACAATATTTGAAAGAAATAGGCCTTTTGTGTACATAGAAAAAGTCTTAGATATTTGAGTTCAGCTCTGTGTTAGTGAGCACTTCTCCTTTGCCGAGATAATCCATTCA